ATGTCATTCTATTTCATTATAAATTAATTTGATAAGAGATATAGCTATATTATAATATAATTTTATAATATAAAATCATATTATACTTATATTATTAATTCATATATAGCTTGATTAGTAAGATATTAATAAGTGATTTAGTATATTTATTATAGAATCTCACAACTATATATACATTATGTAAGCTTTTTAAGCGAAAATATAATATAGTATGACGTACCTAAGTACCTATAGATTAATAACTAGGAATAAATAACTTTAAAAAATCAAAAATCTCTAATATAAACTTAATGAATAATCAATTTAATAATGAATTATAAGTTTTATTTTTTATTCAAAGTTATATATACTACTACTATATTATAGAGAATGTTGATTTAAATAAGAATTCTTAATAACTGAAAGAGATATTTAATATTAAATTAAAAATTAAATAAATAATACGACAAATATTAGAAATAAGACTTTTTTATATACTGATATCTAAAATGTTATAATTAATATTTCTTTTCTTAAAAATAATGTGTTAAAGTAAATTTTAATATTTTTGTTTTTAATACTCTTCAAAAAATGATATTTTATTCTAAATTTCGATTTCTTGTTAAATCTTATTTTAATCTTAAAAATAAAGAAATTTTATTTTAATTTCAAAATAAAAGAATAATATTCTAATATCAAAATAAAAAAATTAGTTTTATCTTATAATATACTATTATTCAATTAAAAATTAAAGGTTAAAATATAATTTGAAATATAATTTAATAAAATATTTTAGTTTTATTAAATTGTTTAATAAAAAAATATTTCTTTTTGAATTTAAATTAATTCAAAAATAAATCTAGAATATTATAACTTCTAATTTCAGAATTAAAATAATGAGAAAGAATATCGAATAAAAATATCATTTTTTGAAAATGTATTTAGAACAAAAATATCAAAAGTACTAATTTAAAAAAGAAGAAATATCAAATTTGACATTTTAGATATCAATATATAAACTAGTACTATTTCTAGTAGTTATCGTAAATAATATTATTGCTTAATAAGCTATATTGAAAACGTATAGGAAAACTTATACTGTATAGGAAAATTCATATCATATAGGAAGACTTATATTGTATAAGCGATATACATTATGTAGAGAATTTTATATTGTGTATATACTCTATAAATTCGCTATAAAATGTATATATCATACATGAGTTACGTACAACTTCACTAAGGTACCTATATATAAATCGTTCCAAGAGATTTTCGGACCACCTGTTTTACCAAGCATCTTGGCACGAGGATTTGCATGGCTCCCAAGGATCTCAGTGTAATAAACACGATGATTTTTTGTCAAGGTAGCAGTGAACCATAGATGAAAAGTTTCAAGTTCAGTGAGAACTAAAATAGTAAGTGTATTGTAGCATGCACACGCAAACTAATGTTTGATTTAACCATGAAGTTTGTGAATGACAGGCAACCTTTGTGCAAACCTGTCGTAAGCCTAGAGTTTGTGAGCGAGGTGAAGGTATGGAATATTTCTAGAAGTGTTTTCACTATGGATCTGCAGCATCACCCGTAGACAAGACTAGAGGAGGAAGGCGTTGGTGAGATTATCCTGTCAGCGTGCAGTGAGGCACATAGAGGATGAGGTTACTCTTAGATCATACTCAAAGCTGCTGCGCACCCTTTTCTATGCATCGAGGAATGATAGATGGTCAGAGCCGCCACAAAGGTGACTTTCTCGGTAGAGCTTGGCGACAACTACATCGGCCTACAATGCACTTAGATTACACTTGGATGTGGCTACGAGGCAGAATGTGAATAGTTCATAAGGGCAACTAAGCTCAATAACATACGGAGATCTAGTGATTTCAATATGAAGTGTCTCCTTCTTGAAGCTTAGCTCTAGAATAATAATATTATTATTAGTATTCTAGTTTTAATTGAAGACTCAGTCACTTTAGATTTAGGTATAAATCGAATATATAGTATGAGAGTTAAATTGAAGACAAATTATAAGAAAGAGCTTGAATTGATCTGAATTTGCTTGCTTTTTCTAGGTTTTCTTTAAGGAATATCCTAGGTTTATATAATTTATAATGAAATTCTAATGGTTTCTATACTTATAAATAAGATTAATGTAGTTTAACACCGAGTGGGTTATATCACCAAGTGGGCTATTTTCATCTCAATTTATACCTTCAAATACAGATCATTTAATAATCATTGAATTAATTGATTTAAACTATTAAGAATCTAATAATTTAGGATCTATTACATTGTTTTAATAGATTCTTGTATTATAATCTGTCTTTCTGTATTTACTATAATATTAATTAGAAAATACTTCCTTATTAGAATTTCCTCTTTTTTAATGCTTATTATGTTAAATCTGAATATTAATTTTTTATTGAGATAATATATTAAAAGCCTTTTATTTAATAAACATTCCTTTTTAATGTAATTAAGTTTTTTTTGTGTATTGATGTTTGCTTAATGTTTTATTTACTACTTGAAGTGTATAATTCTTTATATTTAAAAGTATATTTTCATAAGCTAATCTTTTTATACTTTTAATTAAAATTAATATAATTTCGAATATAGATATAAAAAAGCTTAATTGATAATAAGTTATTCAAGATTTAATTAATATTAATTGAGAAAAAGCTTTAATTAGGTTATAAGAAGTTTAAGAAATCCATTGATTTAGATTAAAAGAGGAGGGGGTAAATATATGAATTCGAATATCTAATTTCGAGAATACAACTTTAGAATTAAATAGGATTAAATTTGTTCTTTGGAATTCTGATTTTATATTTTAAGAGGTAATTGATTCCTTGTATATAATTTTAAAAGCTATAAAGAATTCAATCTTCGAAATATAATTAATATATACTTTAATAAATCCATCAATTTAATTATTATATAAATGTTTTAGATTACTAAAATAGTCAATATTAAGTGATTGAGTTAAATAACTTGAATGTAATAATAAATGTAAATATATAATATTATTCTCTTTATAGTATGCTTAAAAAGCTATTGATTTATAGCTTTTATATCTATCCAATATTAACATTCAATATTTGCTTTTTCTTCGATTCTTAATGTACTTATTGAAATATTTTAATTATTCTAAATCTGTCTCATTATTTGTCCATCTATTAGATGTAGATTTAATAACCCAATCCATAGGAAGATTAATTTCGGTATACTAATTAAAGAGATAAATCTGTTTTTAAACTATTAGAAATAAAAGAATAACTTCATCCTCTTTATTTCCACATATTATTACTATAGCCCATTCTCAATTGCCTAATTGTACTACCTTGTTTCTATTATTTTGTTTAATATTAGTTATTATTATTACTGTATATATAATCCTCATTATAAAGCCTATTTCATCGAAATTATAGAAATCTTCATTCAAAATGTTGTATTTCACTTGCATATTTGTAATTAATTAAAACCATTCTTCAAAAAACTTAGAATTTTTATAAAAAGCTTTTTGAAAATTATAAATACAATTAAAACACATCTTTAATTCAATTCGATACTTTATAAATCAATACATTTAAAGCTTCCCAATACATTTCGCACCCTTCAATTCAAGAATATAATTTACCATATCTTCCATATTCTTAAGTTTAAATAAAAAACCTTTTGGATTTATATTAAGAATATATTGAATAATTACTTTCTCTTTTAATTCTATAATCTTATAATAATTCACTCGAATTTCTATATACAAAAGTAAATTATTCATTTTATAGCTAATTATTATATAAAATATATTATATAGTTGAATAACCTATCGAATACTTAGTTTTTTATTTTTTTGAAGAGCTTTAATAATTAAAAGTAAATGTACTTCTTTATTTGTAAATTTCATAATAAATAATTAATAAAACATATATTGAATATAAAGAGTGTAAATTGAGATGAAAGTGGCCTACTTGGTGATATGATCTACTCAGTATTAAACTACATTAATTTAAATCTAATCTTACAGAGTCATTTATATTATAAAAAGAAAGTACAATCAATCAATTGTTAGTCTGCTTTTTTAATAATCTTTCATATCATTTGATTACATTCTATTTCATTATAAATTAATTTAATAAAAGATATGTCAATATAATGATATAATGATATAATTTTATAATATTAAATCATATTATATATTTATTAGTCATCAATATATCTCTTAATTAGTAAGATATTAATAAGTGATTTAGTATACTTAGTATAGAATCTCATACTCCTTTCCCTTCATGATACATACATAGAGTGAGTGCCTACCGAATTGAAACCCCAACATATGAAAAAATTATCCGAAGGCTTCATATTTTAAACAACAGCTTTCAAGATGCGTCTATCTCAATATGATCATTTGGGTCGAATTTACAAGCAAGAATTGCTCGCAAGTACAATCCCTCACCTGAATCAAGCAACTAGTGGTTAATGAGAAACAGGCTGGAATGCAAGAGTTACATCCACCCGTGACGGGTCGTGATATGGTCTAGATTTAGTTAAGGCTATCAGAGGGGCGAATGAGAAGGTGATTGACGAGATTCAAAATGAAAAATAGAAAGCAGAAATTTTTGGTCCCGTTCAACAGTATACTTGGAGGCGATCTTCTAGATACTCATGCTAATTCGTTGTCGAATTAAGTCTTTTTGTTGTCTCATACATAGCACAGGCGGAAATGAGAACCACAGTAAGAATTTTCCACGAATTTTGCCATGATTTACATTCAACTTCGGTGCGATATTTATGGGTTCTAGTCAATTATCCACTTGCTTAGGTCGATCATGAAGAAATTTCAATGTTAGAGCGATGACATGGCATGTCAACTTTAAGTTGTTCTATTTTGACCTACTCGATCAAGCTTATCATTCTCTATCAGAACACTCGTAGCAAAAATCAGCCTAACCTCCCCGTATACTCATAGTCAGTGACAGTTGCGTGGCTTCTCAAATATCTTCCATGCGAATCTTTCTACCCACTTAACGTTCTCTTCTTTTAATTGTGAAAGGTATCTTGTTCTTTGGGGCTTGAGTGCCATAAGCATAAAATGCCATTCTATGTTTGAAATGTTTTTCCTCTGTCAACAACTCAACGTCATATTGTTGCACAATTCTTGCAAAAACAGCAATGATCTCACGTTTAGCCAAGAAGCGCTTTGGGTAAGTCCTTTTTTCCACGTTGTATTTAATGAAAGAATTTTGCATGATGGATTTGTAATAGATAGGCTTTGAGGAATTCTTTTGATGAGAAGATGACATGAATTGTGAAATACCATTGAATGACGGTGTTGTGATGATAGGTCCGCTCATAGCGTTCTCTGGGTATAGTAAGAACCGATCCGCCTAGAAGGTATCTAGTGAAAATTCTCCATTTCTCGAGTTCCAGACTTTGGCATCGTGATGTGCCGGGCCACAAGGTACTAGAATGGGAGTCTTTTTTAGGAAAAATCCACTGATTCACATACACCGGTGAATGATGGCTATAGAGAACGTGTTGAACTTCCACATGCAAGCGAATGACTTCTGCATAAATCGATTGTAGCAGCGGAATCTGAATTAGTTTATGAAAAAACTGGGGTGATGCAAGAGATTCAGGATCTAAAGCAGCTTCCTGTAGTTCTTTCCGAACACGGGAAAGTAAAGCTGGATCTTTGAATATTTATATTACGGCCCATACTGCCACCTTGTGCACATTGATGCTTGCGCTGATGAGATAGTCAGTTATGTCTGTTGTTGAAGGAAAGGTATATTTGACCTACCCCATAAGAGACCGAAATTCGATACAGCCATTGAATCATAGTCCCAACCGTCTACCTTTGATAGGTATTGCTGTCGTTCTCGTATGCATCGTGAGCCCCACCAAGGATCAGCATCACCATCAGCATCAACATACTGATCCTTGAACTGGAATCTCGCGATACTGTGCCATGTTTTCACGGTGGCAACAAGCTTTCTGCAAGACTGGAAGCCCTAGGGACAAACCAAGGGAGGAAAGATTTCACAAGTTGGTTGGTATATGGAAGGAACTCGAGAAATTCTTTAGTGAAATCGGGATTTATGGCTTCGAGGAGTGGACCTGCTATGGCCTTGTTCATCGACGCTTTCAAGGGCAAGTCCCAGAATTTTATGATATCATCATGCTTGGTCCATTCTTGACTGATGTGTAGCGCCTGGAGTTTGGAGGAAAAATCCTGTGACTATCGTTTGTAAAGTCCAGAAAGCTCATCTCCAGTAAGCAACCGCAGAAACCCAATGTGTGTATTATAGTCGACACGATACGTTTTCGTAGGTTCTAAATATCTATGTTATATTCTGTCTAAAGAACTAGCTATATATAGAAAATTATAGATCTTATATAGATGTTATAGAAAGAGCTAGTTTCTTTCGTTTTTGCTAAAGGCTTGAAATACAGTAACTAATGAATTGAGGTGATTTACTAGATCCTAGTGATCAACGTTCATACAATTATAGAAATGTTATTATGAAAGTAGTATTGTTAGTAGAGGAGAAAGAAGAGAGGTTTTAGAAAGCTTTTATATAATATGTAAGAGATATAATAGAACGAGTAGGAATTAATTATCTTTTTCTAAACTAAATTTTTAAAGAACTATAAATACTAGCTATAAATAATATTATATAATTTGTATATATTTTTCTATATGTATTAAATATTATAACCAAAAACTAATAATCTTTACTAAAATATATAACCTTATTATACAACTCATTAATAAATATACAAACTTATAAAACACCTAAAAGAAAAAGTATAATTTCATAATAAAAATAATTATTTAGAAAATTCAATTGAAATTCACATTTTCGATTAATCTCTTTGAAAATCAGATGTATGAATCTCAAGTACAAAAATTCTATATTTTTTCAAAATTAAATTGAAAAAATTTAATATTAATATTTTTATAAAAGGATATATAATTTTTTATTAAACTTTTTATTAAGAAAATATACTATTTCTTTGAAGCTTAAATCTCTTTCTTTTAGAAAAATCATAGAAAATCATTTTTAATATATAAAATATACAATTTATTATTTTGATCGATATTAAACTATATTTTAAATTTTAATTGAATTTTAAAGTTGATAAATTTGAGTGTGAAATTATACTTTCATATTACGTTGTCTCATGAGTCTGTATACCTACTAATGACCTTGATTTGTTATAATCGTATTGTAATATTTTATATTATATCGTATCATAGTATACTTAAGATAAATAAAGTGAGTTAGAAAGTAAGTATTATGGAACAAATAGATATATACCTAGAGAGATAAATAGATTTAGAGTCGAGACGAGGAGAATAAAGGAGAGGATGGAAGATAATGTAATATATCTTAAAGGAGGTTGAGATGGGAAGTCGTAGGAGATGGGAAATCGAGATGAGGATTTCTGTCACGGGACCACTTCTAGGAGCATTCAGAAGCTTTACCGCTATGCCACAAAAGCATAAAAGACTAGGAGATAGAACTGGAAGTTCTATCTTGCTCTCACATATATCGCAGGATAGGACAGGAAGGGCTAGTGTCACCTCGTGACAGTTTCGTGGGTTCACCAGTAGGTACACAGACTCATAGAACACTTAAAAAGAAAGTATAATTTCATACTAAAAAGAGCGATTTTAATAATTTAATCAAAATTTGAATGACTATTGAATTCTTTCAAAACAAAAATTTATAGTTTTCAAACTTAAGAATTTTATATAATAAAAAAAAATGAAAATAAAGAAATAAAAATCCAAGTCTCAATAACTGATTATATAATTTCCTATTAAAATATTTAATGAGGCATCGTAATATTGAATTTTCGAGTTCAAATCTCTACTTTTCCATATAAATCTTTCATATATCATTTTTTTATATTTAAAAAATACAATTTATTAATTAGAATGATATCCGATTGAAAATGGAATTTTGATTGAATTTTGAAGTTAATATAATTGAAAATGAATTTGTGCTTTCCTATCACGTTGTCCCGTGAGTCTGTGCACCCACTGGTGGTTGTAGTAATTAGGAATGGGGGATGGGCAGTGGATTTGGGGGTTTGTGTTGCTGAGAATGATATCGATATCGATAATGATTAATGTCGATAGTATTGATACAAAATCTAGGATTCTAGATAGGTCAAGCTTAACCATAGGTAAGCGATATTTTTCCTCGAGGGATACGATAGGTGGACGGGAGGGGGCAGAAGCGGAAACTTAAATATTATCTGGGAAATGTGAGGGGTAAGTGTAAATGTCAGAATAAGAGCCAGGATAAAAGAGGATTCTCAGTCATGGATTATAAGATATTATATGCAATATGTAATGTCTGATATATGATATGGATATGAATCTGATACTGTATGGTATGGCATGGTATGGTATGGTATGATAAGATGATATGATATAAAAATGGAGTTTGTGATGCGATACGATGAGAGGGGGGGAAGATGTGATATTATGTGATGTGATTGTATGGGATGGTTTGATATACAGAGCACAGTGGGTAGGTATATGCTAATGTGATCTGATCTGATCTGATATGGATTTATTTAACGGGGTGAGGTGTTGTATTTTGTTGTGTGTATTGGGTTAGTTGTGGTGTGAAGTGGGAGAATACCGGTATGCAGTGGGGTGGGAGTGGTGAGAAAGGAACGCAGGAGTTTGAGAATGTATGGTTTGGGAGGGTTGAATCGTATTGAACTAACCTTAATGTAAGGAAGGATACAAGATACAAGGAGAACATGCATTTCAAGCAGGAGAACAGGACAGGCACAGGAAGCGGAAACACCGAGGGAATGATTTTCCTTACGGTACAGAGTAATTACGAGTAAGTGTGTTGATGTATCAATCAATTCGCACGTACCTGTTCTCCATTTCATCTGTATGTATGCATCTGCCGGTATGTAGGTATCCCTCATCCATCTGTACTCGGTTACCCCTTATGAGTATACCGGTCAGCTGTAGATTGTAGCAGCTCCGTTTCAGGGTTGAAACTGAAGTGGTGGTTGGGGATCTCGTGATGTGTGTATGTTACACGTTACATGTTATATATTGGATAAGTTATCTAGTAATGAGTAATGTATTACAAAGTACTTATAAGTGGGAATGTGAATGAATGAGTGGTTGATAGATAGATTGATTGAACGGTTGGTTAGATGGATGGATGGATGATTGAATGAAGTGTTCCGCATTGCATATACCAGTAGAATATCTGGGAGGATTCCAGACCATACATTCGTACCTCCATCCATTCATCTATCCTAACCATCCATCCATCCATCCATCAGCGATACCCCATAGAATCTCCATACCGCGTACGCAAACATTGGAGAATTCCCTGCATATATATGTATGTGTTGTTCTCCGTAGCGATTGACCAGGCCAAAACTCAAAAAGACAAGGAGGTCTAGAATGTCAAGTTTTAACTGGTGTACATTGTACAGAGAGTTTGATGGACTCGTCACTCGTCATGAGAAAATATACTGTGTACATTGTAAGACTTGACATAACGGGGAACTTGCAGACTGGAGGAAGAGGACAGAAAATATGGGGCAGGGAAGAGGAGAGGCTTCTAGATCTTGGGGGGGAATTTCGATGCAGAGATGTGGAATCGACACTGTCTACGAAGTTGAAGAAGTCGAAGGAATGAATGCAGAATGCCGTTTGACGTGTTACGTGGAGTACCTAGGAGGGGGAGGGGAGGGGGAAGGTACCGGTTGGTTAGGTTTCTTTGGTTTCTTTCTTTCTTTCTTTCTTTCTTTTGAGAATGAATGGGATGGTGATGATGATAGTGTTGATGATGGTGTTGATGATCGTAGAGTTAGTTTATCCTATCTTTTAGAGTTATGTAAATACCTGAGTAGCTGAGCTCCATAAGTAAACCAACAATTTTCACATTTCTTTCCTTTTTCATAATCCACTCACTAACTACTGTATACGAGTACAATTTCCAAGGTTATTTTTATCATCATCATCATCATTCATAATTAGTTGGTCCAGATCACTTATCAAAGTGTGAGAATGAAGTTTGAGAAGATTCCAGAGATTCCACATCCAGTCTAATAATCCGATGGATGGGTGGCAAAGGGGGTTTCGTAAGAACTGGTATTATCAAAGCGTAATCACATCAACTCACTTCTTCAGTGTGAATCCTTCGTATTGATATCATTTCATCACACTTTGCATCGCATCATCTTTTAATGCTTCGTTTTTTTGACTAGGGAGTTGTGCAGGGGGATGAATTGATTGATTGATTGATTCTTTTTTTTTTTTTTTTTTCGTATTTCCCGAGGTTGTTGTTGATATCTTTTTTGATATGTAGGATATTATCTGGGTTATTGGATGGGAAGATTCGAGGGGGAGGAGGGGGGAGTTGTCTAATTGTGTGAGTTGATGGCTTCTGCAGGTACATTTTTATGCAGAGTACCTACATTTGGGAATATGTATAGAACAATATAGGTGGTATAGAAGGTAGAAGGTAGAAGGTACAGGCAAACCGACAGATATATACATTACCCGGGGAAAAGACCAAAGTTTGGCCATCAATTCAAAGTTTGACCTTCTCCAGACCTCCAGACAATTTCTGTAACATGGTGTTCGGTTATGTTACGATATACTTCGGACACATATTATAAATATACAGATCGATAACTATACAGAGGATATGACTTATCTAATCTCCATCCAATATATTGATCGTCAATTGATGTTCGAGTATCGATTATTGCATTCTTTTATTCATACAACGTAGATAGATAGAGATTCACATTACACCTGCATTCACATCACATTCATATCAAGTAACGATTGAATAAATGAATTGTGTATGGAGTATAACGTTCGTTATCGTATGCATTAACAATGAACATCTACAACCCCCTTACACAATACAAATGGACCCCCTTGTTCATCAAATTCCTTCCCCTTCCCCTTGCAATTCAACATGTTGTTGATTAATGTATTCACATCACACTTGCCCCTCCATAGATATTCAATATTAACGTTAATTCTCCATCTGAGTCTGAGTCCGTCCGTCTACTCCATACGTGCTTTGTATTTCCATGATTCTATTTCTAGATAATTCCATCCCTCAC